GCAGTGTTGATAAACAAAGCATGCATGATGTATGATGCATAACGTGTACAATGTGTAGTATCGTAAAATACCAGCAAACGAAAAAGAATTAAAATGGAAACACAAGATTAAATGAAAAAGAAATCATAAAACTAAAAACCCACCAAACCTTATAGTACCGGTTGGTGTTACCAACCGGTACTGAACACCAACCGGTACTAAAGGGCTCCAGGCCCCCGGAGCTGGCTCGTGCCACGTGGTTGCCCTTTAGCACCGGTTCGTGCTGAACCGGTACTAAAGGGGGGGCCCTTTAGTGACCACAATTTAGTGCCGGTTATGTAACCGGCACTAAAGGGCCTTACGAAGCGGTGCTATTGCCCGGTTCTGCACTAGTGGGAAACCAAATTTGAAATCTAGTCTACACATTTGTCTAAAGATTGAATGTCAACTACTCCCTCCGTTCCCAAATATAAGTTTTTCTAGAGATCCCAACAAATGACTACATACGGAGAAAAATGAGTGAATCTACACTCTAAAATATGTCTACATGCACCCGTATGTTGTTGTGCATTTGAAATGTCTAAAAAGACATATATTTAGGAATGGAGGGAGTAAAACTTAAAAAATTCTTGCTACGTCCTACGACAAAACGAATGAAATCGGCTGTGGAATGAGCAGATGGGTTACCTAGCCACCGATGTAGCTCAAAGAGGTGTCGGTGCTTGGTGGTTCGTCGTCGGAGTAGTCCATGCTCCGCTCCTTCGCTTGCAGCCACAGCGGCTACACCATTACCTTTTGCACAGTTCAATCCAAGTAGGTACGTTCTTACAGTAAGTTTGACAATTTTCATCATGGTGATATAAATCTCATTTAAGTCAATGGTTATTTTTTCTGAGCTAAAAAACGAGAAATTTTCAGTTTCATGATCAGCTTTCTAAATTCATGAATAAATTTTCAAAATTTACAAACTTTTTAAAAATTCATGAACTTTTTTTGCGTTCATGAACATTTTTCAAATTCACCATCAATTTTAAATTTTGCATTTTTTTCCAAATTCTTGAACACTTTTCAAATCCAAAATATTTTCTAGTGTCAACTTTTCTTAATTCATGAATAATTTTTGAAATTAAAGAACTTTTATTTTGTTTGAACATTTCCTTGAATTCTTGAACAAGTTCCAAGGTCATGAACATATTTTAGTTCTCACGAATCGTTTTTGAACATTTCCTTCAGATTCTTGAGCATTTTCCTAACTCTTGAAAAAAAATTGAACATTTACTAACATTTACCATTTTTGGTTAATTTTTTTAATTCATGAACATATTTTTTCAAATATGTGAACTTTCTTAAATTCCTGAGCATTTTTGAAATTTGTGTTTCTTAATGAATTCATGGACATTTTTTGGATTCTTGAAGAATGTGTCAAATTCATGAACACCTGTTAAAATTTGTGATGCTCTATAACTTGCGCCATTCTCGTGCTAGAAATGTTGTGGAGAGAACTTGTGGATTGTGGAAGAAAAAATGGGCCATACTAAGAGTTCAATCTTTTCTTTGATATAAAGGACCAGGTAACAAAAGTTAAAGTGATGTTACTAATGGATAGTGATGACATGCTGATTGTGAATCTAATTTTGTGCAGATTTGAATTATTAATGCTTGTTGTGTGTTACACAACTTTGCAAGGGATAGGCAACATGTGATGGATGATCTATTGCTTCCAGAAGTTGACCATGAACTAGATGATTTTGAACTTGAGCCGGGGGATGACGCTAATTTAACTACATCTATTTTTTATTTTAGAAAAGGGGTATTACCCCAGCCTCTGCAATTTAACTACATCTGTTGAAGTCACAAATGAATGGACCAACTGTAGGCAAAACTTTGCAGATGACATGTATGCTGAGTACCTTGTGAGGCATGCAGAACTAGAGATGTAGTAGCTTGATGATGGTAGTCTCATTTTGTGTAGTAGCTTGATGATGGTGGCCTCATTTTGTGTAGTAGCTAGATAATGGTGGTCTCATTTTGTGCAGTCGCTTGCTGGATATCTTTTGTGTGATAGCATAGGTGGATGTGATGATGCCTTGTGTTGTACATGCATCACCTTCCCATATATATATGATAGTGTTTCTCTAAAATTTGCACTTTCATGTACCATTTATTTATGCATAATCTTGATCCAACATGCTGTTTTTCTTTGTGCATAACTTTTTTTGTTTGTAGCACCAAGGAGTTGTAAGGAGGAATTACACCACATGGGATGATGAGATGGATGGTGCACTGCTTGAGGTGCTTGTTGATCATCACAACAATGGCGACCATTCACAAAATGGATGGAAACCACACATGTATTGTGCAGCCATAAGGAATGTGAAGGAGAAGTACAACAAGGATATCACAAAGGACAACATTTTGGGAAGGCTTAGGACTTTCTATAGGTACTATGAAGTCATTACCAAGATACTTTCCCAAAGTGGTTTTGGGTGGGATTGGGAGAATCATAAGCTATCAATGGATAGTGATGATGTCTGGATCAAATATGTGGAGGTAACCATCATAATATGCACATTCATGTTTACCTTTTTAGTATGTCACATAACAGGACAGCAACTTTACTCTTCACTTGTGTGTATTTTGCAGGCTAATAAGAAAGAGAAAGGATTAGCTTCCTACAAGACCAAAGTAGTGAAGCATTGGGAGTCCATATCTATCATATATTCAAAAGATCATGCCAATGGTGAAGGTGCGATGACTGGTGCTGAGAGTGCTGCAGATCCAGAAGAAGAACCAATAGTAATCTCTCCAGAAGTGGCACCAAAGAGGCGACGAACAGGTGAGTCCATTATGTGCATGATTGGAGAAATGAGGGCTACTTTCAAAGATGCTTTGAAGACAACTGATCCACTTCCACTGCCAAAAGCTACCACTCTTGCTGCAATTCTTGTTGCACTTCAGTTGATACCTGACTTGGCAGAGCCAGACATGTTGCGATCATATGGGAAGCTGATTCTTAATGAGCGTTTGTTTGAAGCTCTAATGGAGTTGCCCATGGAAATGAGGAAGGCCTGGCTATTAGTGTTGCCTTAAATTTATCCAAATGTTGCTTTTCAGCTTGTCTTGTTTAACTACTTGAATCTATTTGAACTAGTGCGGTGATGTTAAATTTAGAACTATGTGTTGTTGTTGTTGAGAGTTTGGAAACTACATATCTGAACTACGTGTTGTTGTATGTGGTCTGGTTAAGAATTTGCACTCTATTCGCATAATTATTGTTGTTGTTGTTGTTGTTAGAAATTTATCACTGTTCCTATTCATGTGTGAATATTATTTGGTGTCGTCGTGCCTTTCTATCTAGAATATATATTTGTTCATTTTTATTGCTATATAATCATTCAATTATACTCACAAATTGTACAGATTTTGATTTGATGCATAAAACACAAAGCATATGCAATTCCATAGTATGTCATCCGAACATGATTTGGTATTGAGATTCCATGACCCAATTCCATGAGCAACCGAACACGTGAATTTGTATTCATGTCCATTACAGTTTCCACTCCGAATTGGAAATGAAACCAATTCAATAAAGAGGTCTCGAATACAGACATCCGAACATAGCGTGATTTTTTATGAAAATTCGTGAACATTTTCCAAATTTCAAACGTGTTCTATTATTTTTCTTGTATTAAATTAAAAACTTTACGAAATATAGAAAATTCGTGAACACTTTCTA